GGTATAAGTGCCCAGTTGGCAAGTTGTTAAAGCCAGCCTCCCATAGACAGGAAGTACTAATACATAATTATACATAATATTACCAGCTAACGGTAGAGGGCAGCAGATGCCCTCAAATGCTGTGTTATAGGGAACACCTTGGAGAGTTGAAGCGTTTCTAAACCCACAACAGTAAAATCAGTCTGTATATGCAGTAAAGCATACTTGTTATACTCACTGTGGAACCTAAGGGGTTAATCCTCTGCATTGTTTAGAAAGGCTATTATTTGATCCTGACTTCTCTGCCCCTCTTCTTGTTCAAATGTCCACCTGATAAGACAGACTGAACGCGTAGCCACATGTACATGCTCAGTTTAGTGTGTATTGCTAGAGAGGTTTTTTTTGTTTTCTTGGGAGGGTGCATGTGATCAGCAAAGGGTCAATCAGCACAGTTCACACAGAGGTCAGGGGTTCTACATCCTCATAGAGCAGAAAGAAAACTCCTCCTACAAGCTTTGACCAGTGCTCTGCTGGACACTGACATAAGTCACAAGACAGCTCTAACTGCTGATGAGAAAAGGTATTTAGCAGTTTATATTTACTAAAATAATTGCACTTCCCTGTGCTGTGTACTGTGGGAAACCAGATATAGTGAATGCAGGGTCCTGGGTTTTGTAACACTTTAATTATCTTTAAGTCACACCATGAAAAATGTACCTTTTGTCTGGAATTTCTCCTTAAAAACAACACTGTGCTTCCTAGTAAGTAAGGGTGCCTAGGCACTCCTGTGCTTTCAAATTCAGAACTGTATATCTGCAGTGTGATATCTAAGGCTATGTTTACACATGCTGCAAACTTTGCCACCCCTCTGAAAAGCAATCTGTGGTGAATCACTTTACAAAGGCATTTGACAGGTGGTGAGCATGCAATTCCTAGCCTCCTGTTAAACCCTGTAAAACCCACACTACTGCGCAGCAACCACATACCTTGCAGTTGCAGGGCAGTTGTGGCACAGCTCCATTCATTTGAACTTCTCGCTGAAAACAACAGGGGATATCATTGATGCTGCAGCTGTAAAGCAAGGCATTGCAACATGTGTACAACCCTGTTGGGCTGCCTTTGCAGCTTTAAGGGGTGGTTGTGGGGCAGAAAAAAAGGTGGATCAGTGTAAATGAGACCTATGGCACTGCTGCCTCTGACTGCTAGTCTCAGGAGATTTGAATTGAGATCATGTCACTACAGTGCCTCTGTTTTCCTTCAATGGAGGCTGTGACATAGGGAAGCAAGGTCCTGCCTTTACCAAGATGGCTGCTCCCATATACAGAAAGTGCAAAACAAAACATGGAAAATCAGTAATGGGGAAAGATTAGCTCTAGGAGACCACAGGCAATACCAGTGACTAGTCCTTTACTTACTGCCTGACATTTTTGAGCAGAGTTCCACTTTACTTTGCATTGTAAAATTATCAGTGTAGCACCTTCCTTGTTAGGTTGCTAGGATGTAGGCACATTTATTTCTTTTTTGCTCCTCTATAGCCAGTGGAACAGTTGCTGACTGCTTTTGGCTGTTCTGGGTCTCACAGACTGCAGGTTTAATTGCTCTCCCCTATAGTATCTTCCAAAGGCTTCTGGAACATAGAGGATTGATCATGGCAAATCCCAGTCTGAATATTTAATGTGCTCCAGCCAATCCCAAGGGAGGTGTGCCCAGATGGTGGTTGGTTAGGCATATAAATAATCTGGGACTTAGAGAAGTAGGGCCTTTCTCTTCCCCTTGTTGTTTGTTGGAGTGTCCAGCAATTTTTCACTGGGTCCCAGCTGTGGCAGAGCTGGGGGGCCAATTACTTATGATCCCTTTTTGGAGCTAGTCAAGGGGACCTTCACACAAGAACCGGTCTGGAGAGCTCACTGAAGAGTGCCCGTGGAGTCTAGCTGCCCTGTGGTATTGTGAGCATTAACCTCTCTCTCACTAAAGAGTATCTTGTACTGGAAGAAGGCATTCAGATCGGGGTTTTTGTGACCATGTGCCCTATCCTATGAGGGAAGGAGTCAATAGTTTTCTGTCTGGGATAGCTCCAAAAAAAAAGGGACCCTGTCAGTGCCATCACTATGGTTGGTGTAGTTTTGGGCAGTAAGACATGGTGTTACTCCCCCCCAGTAATTTTATTCCCATCTAACACTGCATATAATGGCAACAGTAGTGCTGTAAACAACCATCAATCAACTAGCAAATTTGAATAACAATATCAAATTAAAATAATAGAACCGCCCACAATGTACTGCGAATGGGTGGTAGCTGCAGGCAAAGCGACGTACCTGTACGTCGCTTTGCTCTTCCGGGTTTAGAGTGCACATGTATACCCAACCCCATGAAGCTGAAGTGCTAGGATCACATGACTTGTCTCATATGCAGCAGAGTGCCAGTACTAGTGCCACACTACCTTTTCGTGAACTGGTGAGCACCAGTGGCCTATTATACCATGGTCTTTTTATACCAGCACTGCAGTATCACTTGGTGATGTGGCAAGTCCCATAAGTGCAGTACAAGCTGGTGTGGTGGCGAGTACAAGTAGTTTCTCGCATTCACCAAGAATTCGCACACAGGCCCGTAGAACCCCTAGTATCCTTTCGGACATGCTTGCAAACTCTGATTGGCTGCCCACAGATTCTTCAGCACCCCTACTTCTCACATTCACTGCCCAACCCGGAATTCAGGTGGAAACAGCAAATTTAACTCCCCTTGATTTTTTGCAGCTGTTTTTTCACAGAAGATTTGTACAATTTGATTGTGGGCCAAAGCAATTTATATGCTCAACAATTTATCGCCGCAAACCCAAATTCAAACCTTGCCAGACCATTTGCATGGAAACCCATTACGGTTTCCGAATGTAAAACTTTTTTGGGCCTAACCCTCAACATGGGCATTACAAAAAAGAATGAGTTGCGGTCGTATTGGTCCATAGACCTGATTCATCATATGCCCATGTTCTCTGCTGCCATGACCAGGCATAGATATTATACTATAATCTGTTTCATGCATATCAGTGATAACACACTCGTTCGTTCCCTCATAAACCACCTCACTGAGAAATTTGCAGATGTGTATACGCCCCAGCAAAACATATGTGTAGATGAGTCCCTCATTCACTTTACTGGCCGCCTTTCATTCAAACAGTACATCCGCAGCAAGCATGCCTGATATGTGATCAAATTGTATAAGCTCTGTGAGAGGGCCACAGGCTATACATACAAACTTAAAGTTTATGAGGGAAGAGACAGCAAAGTAGAGCCCCCCCGACTGCCCAGACTACATGGGGAGCAGGGGCAAGATAGTTTGGGACTTGGTGTCGTGTTTGTTCCGTAAAGGGTACCACTTATACATGGACAAATTGTATACAAGCATGTCACTATTTAGATATCTCTACAATCTTGGAATTGGCTCATGTAGCACCGTGCAAACAAAACGCCGGGGCTTTCCCCAATGGCTTGTAAATATATCCGACTTAGAAAGGAGGAGAAAGCCTGTTTGAGGAATGATGAATTACTCACAGTGAAGTGGAAAGACAAACGCACTGCCAAAAGCACCAAAACCTGGTTCAATGACTGTGGGATTACTGTGCTTGATTGGCCAGCAAACTCGCCTGACCTGAACCCCATAGAGAATCTATGGGGCATTGCCAAGAGAAAGATGAAAGACATGAGACCGAACAATGCAGAAGAGCTGAAGGCCGCTATTGAAGCATCCTGGTCTTCCATAACACCTCAGCAGTGCCACAGGCTGATAGCTTCCATGCCACGCCGCTCTGAGGCAGTAATTGCTGCAAAAGGGGCCCAAAACAAGTACTGAGTGCATATGCATGCTTATACTTTTCAGAGGTCCGATATTGTTCTATGTACAATCCTTGTTTTATTGATTGCATGTAATATTCTAATTTTCTGAGATTGTAGATATGGGGTTTTCATGAGCTGTAAGCCATAATCATAACAATTATGACAAATCACAGCTTTAACTATCTTGCTTTGCATGTAATGAGTCTATCTCATATATTAGTTTCACCTTTTAAGTTGCATTACTGAAATAAATGAACTTTTGCCCGATATTCTAATTTTTCGAGTTTCACCTGTATACTTTATAATTTTTGGCACATTTCATGTGTGCCCACCATAAGAATGGGTGGATGCAGGGAGGTATATTCTAATGGTGGGCATACCACACACTCTTTCTGTCAGAGATTTCTTCTCTTTTTTTCATTTAGCCCACAGGCTGCATAAAAAAAAGAACATAGCATATGGGCCCTATGCTTCGGCATATATATTTTATAATATTTTTTGGCACATATTTCAATTAAAAAGTTGTTTTATTGAGTTACTGTTTTATTGTTAACCATTGCTGTTTTCTTTGCAGGAATGTCATTCAACTGCAACACCGACTTGTTTATTCTGACAGCAACATGGTCTTGCTCTCAGAATATACATAAGTAGGTGTGTACAGTGCTGTTGGATGATATTTTTCATCTGCAGTTAAACAAAGAGCATATATGCCTAAGCATGGGGGGCCTGGGGTGGCCAGTGGGTGGATGGTCCCTATGCTTCGGCATATATATTTTATAATATTTTTTGGCACATTTAATGTGTGCCTGCCATTAGAAGTGGGTGGATACAGGGCGGTAAATTCTAATGATGGGCATACCACACAGTTTTTCCAGCAGAGATTTCTTCTCTTTTTTTCATTCAACCCACAGGCTGCATAAAAAAAAAATTAACATAGCATATACACCCAACAAGGACCAGCAACGTACTGGTATATCACTGGACCTTGAGTAGTTATACCAGGATGATGCCTTCCAGGGCTCCGGGTATGACCAGAGGTATGTGAACTGACGCAGGAAAACGCAGGCTTCAGATATGTTATAAACAATATAATTTATTAATACTAACAATACAAAACGCAGTGCAATACTAAAAAATAAACACAGTGCAAACGAACCAAAACAAGCCACCCACAGATAACAATACATACAATGCAAGCGTAGTCAGGCAGGCCGGGTCAATAACAATCGGGCAGGTAGGAACAGGAGGAGCAGGCAGAGAGTAGTCAGGTCACGAGCCGGGTACAGCAACTAATGGGCAGGTAGGTACAGGGGGTCAGGCAGAGAATGGTCGGGGTCACAAGCCAGTGATCAAACAGGAGAAGTCAGCAGAGGTCAGGATCAGGCAGGGTCGGCAACGAGTCAGTCAGGCAGGAACAGGAACAGAAACAGGAACAGGAACAGGAATGCAGGTAACAAGATACAGGGGCCCATGGAAAAACACACACCAAGGCACAGACTGCAGGTCTGGCCATCCCTTAAATACACCTGCAATCAGCCTCAGGTGTTTGTCTCTGATTGCTGAGAGCACCCGCTGGCCAGCCCTGGTACTGCAGCCCACAAGGCAGGTGAGTCCCACCATTATTGGCAAGTCCATTCCTGACAATGCCTGCCACCGCAGGCATCATCCTGGTATAATTTTTTTCAGCCAGCAATCGGCTTTCATGTAAAATAAATCCTAGTGGCTAATTAGCTGCAGGATTGCTTTTACAAGCAGCGGGAGAAGATCCCCCCCCCCCCCCCCCGCTGCCTTCCACAGCCTTCTCGGGCAGTCCTGTGCCATCAGGGGACCTGAAAATGCAGCTGGTGTTTCCACCAGCTGACCATAGAGCTGATTGGAGACCGGAATGGTGCCCATCATCTCTATAGTCTAAGAAATCGGAAGCTACGAGCATTTCATCACTTCAGTTTTGCAGAATATAAACAGAGCCATTTGTAAATTGGGAAAGTATCTGATCACACCGATCTTGGTGAGATTAGATAATGTAAGGGCAGAGGAGATATCTAGAGTCAGATTTCTCAAAAAAGAATATATGACAATGCCCATTGAAGTTATAGGGGATATTTGCATTCCCTGTGATAGCATTCAAAGTGATTAAGAAAAATGAAAGGGACAGTGTAAAAATAATTTGAAAAATCAAATTAACTTAAAAAAAAAAACCCTTGCCACCTGACTGCATGAGCGTTGACCGTTTGTCAGCATGTAAACAGCGGTTGCACCATGCATGTGAGGTATTGCCGCGAATGTCAGATCAAGGGCAGTAATTCTAGCACTATACCTCCTCTGTAAATCTAAAATGGTATCTTGTAAAGGCTTTTAAAGCGTCGCCTATGGATATTAAAAATGTATGCAGTTTGTCGCCATTGCACGGGGCATGCGCAGTTTTAAAGCATGTCATGTTTGGTATTTATTTACTCAGCATACCATCATCTTATATATTTTACCAAATAATTGGCCAATATATTGTGTTTTTGTGCATTAAAAGTAAAAAAAGTATATTTTTTAAAAAAAATTTGCGTTTGAAAAATCGCTGTGCGAATACTATGTGACATAAAAAATTGCAGCACCCACTATTTTATTCACTAGGGTGTCTGCTTTAAAAAATATATAATGTTTTGGGGTTCAAAGTAACTTCGTTACAAAAAATACAGTTTTTTTTTCATGTGAACAAAAAGTTTCAGAAAAGGCTTGGTCTTCAGGTTGTTAGAAGAGTGAGTGATGTGTGGCATAAACTTCTAATGCTGGGCATAAAATGCCCCCACCCCCCAAAATGACTCCTTTTTGGAAAGTAGACACCCCAAACTATTTGCTGAGAGGTGTAGCAAGCGTACACATTTAGATGGATGCGGTTCAACCATTTTGGCTTCAACCTCCATCTTGGCAAAGGGGTTAACCATCCTGACAAACATAATTCCCCCTCATTCTCCCCCTTCCCTCTCTGAGTGTCACAGTGACATTTGGCCAGTGTGTATGTGTGTTGGAAGTGTCACAGGAGGCCAGAGCCCAGCAAGGGGCTCTGTGCTATAACATCCCCAAGGGAGCTGGGGCCTAGCTGTGCAAAGAACCTGTGCAATTTAACACCTCGTAAAAAAGATAACGCAGGCCTCCCAGGAGTTCAAAAGACATTGAACCAGATAACCTTTTTAAAAATCCATTTTTACGCTATGTCTCATATCTTGGAATATGAGACACTTACATAAAAATCAGGCATATCGTCAGATTGGCCAAGAGCAGACGAACATTTTGATAGGTCACTCTCCATGGTTGGAATACAGAGGAAAGCAGAAAAGTAGATCTCATGAACCATTCAGTGTAGAATTTCATAATTCATATCTAATCAATCCTCAGATGTGTCTGCATAATAATCTACCCGAGGGTGGAGTGTCACTTATGCATATGGAAAGATATGAGCCAAAATATGAGTTAGGAGAGATTTTGGCTCTAGTTGAGGTATCCGCCCAGACCATCCCTCCCTAAATGAGGCATTAGTCTTTGGCTTTAGAGACACCCCCCCTGCTGGGGGACTACAAAATGGGCTGTCAGGCCTAAGAGAGAGAAGTTGAAGAAGTCTCCCATTTTAACATCAGAACCACCTGGGGAGACCCGTACCCTTTCGCTCTGAAACTTGATCTAATCTACAAACCCAAGGCTGATTGGCAAGTACTTTAACCCTTTAACCTCCTTCTGTTACCTCTTTGCTGTGCTGTTGTTCTCTGTATATTTATATATATATTGGATACATCTTTTCCTGTAAATGTTTTTATTGCACCCCTTTTTGACTTTCAGTAATAAATATTTCCTTCTGAAAGTGTTGAACTGTTTCTATAGCTCTTAATCGCAATTTACGAATTCCTGCCTCTAAAAAGAACGCTACTGTGTTTGTTTAACCCTCCGTATAACCGGCCTGCGGTGACCGTGTTATACAGACGATTACCTCAACCATTATAGTGTTATTGCAGATATCACCGAGTTTCCTCTTTCTCTGTACAAAGGTGGTGGCAGTGTGAAGGGTTAATTGCGTAATTAACTTGACCCAGTAACAATCGCTCAGGCTGGCGGTACATCGATTGTGGTCCATTAGCTGGAAAATCGTTGTGCAGGGTGCACCTGGGTGTGGCATTGTTACGCACGTGGCATCACGGTTTCAGATTGGCCAGTCCTTCGGTCACGAGTTTGGTGAGAAGGTCAGGGGTCTGACGCCGCGTCCGTCACATATTGGTGACAGCGATCGTGGGGTCGTTACATATTGGTGGCAGCGATCCTGCGTCCGTCACAAGAGGCATGTTGAGTCAATAGAAGGATTTATTTTTTTTACCACAAGTTTTTGGAAAATGACAAATACACAAGATTGTCACTTAAATGATTTATTGCTCACACATGCCATGGGTATATGTGGAATTACTCCCCAAAATACATTCTGCTACTTCTCCCGATTATGAGGGTACCACATGTGAAAGACGTTTTGGCAGTCTAGCTAAGTAGAGGACCCCAAAATCCAATAAGCACCTTCAGACTTTTAAAGGGCTTTATTTCCTCATTACACTTCCTGACTACCTATCACAGTTTCGGAGGCCCTGAAATGCCAGGATAGCACCAAACCCCTCAAAAGTCCCCTTTTTGGAAAGTTGACACCCCAAGGAATTTGATAAGAAGCATGGTGAGTATTTTGCAGATCTCGTTTGTTGCCACACATTTTTGGAAAATGAAGAAAGAAAACAAAAACATATTTTTTCTTTTCTTTTTTCATATTTCAAAACCTTGTGAGAAAAAATTAGATCTGCAAAATACTCACCATGCCTCTTTATAAATTCCTTGGGTTGTCTACTTTCCAAAAATGGGTCATTTTGGGGGGTTTGGTGCTATCCTGGCATTTCAGGGCCTCCGAAACTGTGATAGGTAGTGAGAAAGTGAAATGAGGAAGTTACGCACCTTCAGGCTTTCAAAGTGGTCATTGGATTTCAGGCTCCTGTATGTGGCTAGGCTTCCAAAATGTCTCACACATTATATCCCCATACTCGGTAGAAGTAGTAGAATGTATTTTGGGGTGTAATTCCACATATACCCATGGCTTGTGTGAGCAATTTATCATTTAAGTGACAACTTTGTGTAAAAAAAATGTTTTTGTCATTTTCCAAAGACTGGGAAAAAAATAAATCTTCCATGGACTCAGTATGCCTCTCAGCATATAGCTTAGGGTGTCTTCTTTCTGAAAAGGGGTCATTTGGGGGTGTTTGTACTATCTTGGTATTTTAGCACCTCAAGAAATGTGATGGGCAGTCAGAAAGTAAACGCTGTGTAAATTCCATTATCTATACCATAGTTTGTAGGCGCTATAACTTTCACACAAAGCAATCAATATACACTTATTAGGATTTTTTTTACCAAAACATGTAGAATACATTTTGGCCTAAATTTATCACTAACTTTGAGTTTACTATATATTTTTTATAGCCGAAAGTAAAAAAAATCATTTTTTTTTCAAACTTTTTGGTCTTTTTTTTGTTTATAGTGCAAAAAATAAGAAGCATACAGGTGATCAAATACCACCGAAAGTTCTACTTGTATGAAAAAAAGGACAAAAATTTTGTTTGGGTACAGCATTGCAAGACCGCGCAATTGGCACTTGAAATAGTGCACCGCTGTATAGCAAAAAGAGGCCTGGTCAGGAAGGGTAAATCCTCAGGAGGGCAAGTGGTTAAACGTTTCAAGAACAATGTTTATTTTAACAAACTTTACTGAAAAAATAACTAAATAAATAACACAAAAATAAAGAGGAACAAATACACAAGCTTTCACTTACCCTAGGTTCACACCTAAGTGTTTTCCGCAGCGTTTTGCATTTTGCAGAAATGCACTACTGTCCATTTAGCATGATTTCCTATGGGACACGTTCACATCTCTAACCATTTTCACCTGGTTAGTTTTTTGGAAAGGGTCAGGAACTTTTTTGAATGTTGAAGTTGCGTTTTTGGTTCTATAGACTTCAATGGAAACTCTGCAGAAATGGATGTAGTGCATCTTTGCTGTGTTTTTGCCACATTTTTTATGCGTTTTTGCCTCGTTTTTTATGCCTTTGTGATGTGATTTGCATTTTAAATCTGTCTACCAACAAGAAAAAAAGTAAAAGCATCAAAAACATGGCAAAAACGCATGTTCAAGAATGCACTGCAAAATGCAATTCAGAAACGGATCAAGCACAAACTGCATAAATATGAACCTATCCTTAGTACTGGTTCATATACAGTGCCTTGAAAAAGTATTCATACCCCATGAAATTGTCCACATTTTTTCATGTTACAACTAAAAACATAAATGTATTTTATTGGGAATTTATGTGATAGACTAACACAAAGTGGCACATAATTGTGAAGTGGAAAGAAAATGATAAATGGTTTTCAACATTTTTTACAAATAAATATCTAAAAAGTGTGGTGTGCATTTGTATTCAGCCTCCCTGAGTCAATACTTTGTAGAACCACCTTTTGCTGCAATTACAGCTGCAATTCCTTTTGGGTATGTTGCTTTTGGCTGTGAACAGCATGTGAACAGAATGGACACCAACACAAACTGCGATGACATGTGTTTTAACACCTTTCTATTGGAATC